TGAAATATTTTTCACACATTTCTTTTTATAAAAGTTAAAAATATATATATATATTATTTATAACTAATATAATTAATAATTAAAATTTCTTATCGAGATAAAATTAATAATTTTTTATTTTATCAACAAAATATTATTTAAATTTTTTTTAATATGAATTCTTATATTTAGATTTTTATTCACATACAATTAATACATGTGCAATAAAACAAAGTATCTTAAATCTCATCTACAATCGATTTATTATTATTTTTTTTGAAATATTTTAAGTTATAATATTGCATTAGATTTCTATCTATATGGCATACTATATTTTTGTGAATTGCATTAAGTTCCTTAATAATTTCTATTTACAATTATCCCTTTCCCACGTAAATAGGCACTTTTTTAAGTAAAATTTCCATTCACAAGATTGAGTAGGGAAAATGACCCATATAATAACTACCAACAAGAAAGAGGAAATCCAATAGAAAAAATGTTAGGATTTTAAGTCGACAAATTTGGAAGAAAAAAAAACCCCAGAGCCACACAACACTAAGAAATTCACTATGAAAATTGGTTGAATTTGTACATATTTCTTTCTTTCTCACTCTCTACTTGAGATGTCGCAGCGACAACCTAGACGGGATGGTGCCACTATGATAGTAGCAGCGGGGGCAACATGGTGGCAGCCTGGTAGTGGCAACACTACGATGTAGTGATAAGAGATTGATGCTAGTGACACGATGATAAAGTGAGTGAGACATGACAATGCAGTGACAGAGTGATGAGATAACTTACTTGGGTTTATAAACTGGTAAATCTAGGTTAATTTCAAGTTAAAAAAAAGGTTTGATTCAAGTTTTCTAGAAAACCCGAACCTAATCCAATTTTATTTATGGTTTAGAGTTACAAACCCAAATCTAAATCATATAACAAATGAGTTAACCCAAACTAAAAATTTTTTGGGTCGGGTATTGGTCGGGTTCAGCTTGTATTACATTTTGATACCCCTGAAATTCCAGCCCCACTTGCAACAGTAGTGTACTAGGTTTAGTTTGCCTCGGGACTCCAATTTATGTCTCTAGTACGACTAATATTGTATTAGCATCGAAATCTAGAGAACTGCAATGCTCGTCTCTCTGTCCATCTCAAACTTTACTATCCAGCACCGTAGTGCTATACAGGAATGGAGAAACATTTGGTACAAAAAAATATTACCTAAGCACATAGAGAACCCGTGCAACCCCCCAACAAGCTCAACTAACATAATTTAGGTCACATATAGTAATACAACTTGATTTATCATAACAATCAAATCCTAAACGTAGATAAAAATTTATTCTATTTGTTAGTAACATTTTTTTTTTAAAAATAAATTAGCCATTTTGTAAAAATCTAACTATTCTATATAAAACCCTATAGTTAATTGATAATTTTTCTATGGCCTAAGATAAATTCTCACTCAAAATACTATAAAAAAAATTTTGTGTTCCTTTTTTTTTTCTTAAAAAAAATAACAATTTAGGTCAGGAAAGCTGGGAAGCATATTCTAAGTTTTCAACCTCATTATTAGTTGTTATGTTTTTACTTGAGCAATACAGGGCCAAAAATGATGGACGACACCTTTCATGAAATTTTGATTGATAGGAATGCAAAAAATTTATAACTTCATATATAATATAAACTTGAGAAAAAATCAGCATGGTGATATAAGAGATTGGATTCTTCATAGGCCAAAACTATTATTGATCAATTCTCTAACCACCTAATCTTCCCTTAAAACATTACTTATCTTCTAAATTAAATATCTAATAACCCTAATATGTGTAATAAACCACTGCCTATAAAACCCCACCTCCACTTGGTTTACTCCTCCAAGTTATCCTAGGTAGAGCTTCAAAGTTCTGTTCTCATGGAGACTTCTTCTCCTCTACTCTCATATTTTATTCTTCTCAATATGTTCTTCTTTTTGCTTCTAATAGAGAAGAAATTTCTAGTATCAGCATGAGAGCTTGTTGGAGGACACCATGTCATTGATATTAAGTCACTATTGCCGAGCAGCTCTTGCACCTTTCTGAATAAAAGTTTGCGAGCGATTTCAATAATTTTTTAATACATTATTGCATACTATTTTTTTTATAAAATAATTAAAATAACTATAATTCATGTAAAAATTAAGCTCATTTGATATTTATCACAAGAATAAGCTCTTTTGATAGACATCACAAGCTTAAACGTAATGGAAAAAAAAATAACTCAAAACTTCCATTAATTAGTTTTTCAAATTGTGATAGGCACGATCCCTTCCAAGCTCAACGTGGTCCTCCAGCATGGCCCGTGCTCATCCTTGAAACACCAATACAAGCTATCATATGTCGATCTCTTCCGTCAGGACCATGCCCGTGTTGAATACATCCAACGGCAGACTGCCAACGCCAACGTTCGCCTAAACCTTGTTGGAAGCTCCCTTTCTTCAAGACTTCCGACAAACATCGATTATTCTCTTGGTGTCTTCAACTATTTCGTCAACATTGTCCTAGGCACCCCTACCAAGTTCTTCAAACTTATGTTTGACATTGGTAGTGATCTCACTTGGACCCAATGTGTCCCCTGCATTAACTTTTATAACCAAAAAGACCCATTTTATGACCCGACCCAATCCTCGACTTTCACCACCATCGAATGCATCTCTAACTATTGTACCCAACTCCCTCGATTTGGTTTCTCACCTACCTTCACCTGTCTCTACGAACAAAAATATGTTAGTCGTGTTATTACTAAAGGTTCCCTCATTTAAGACACCATTTACCCACTTACCACCAACTTCCTAGTCCTCCATATGTAACATTTTCTGAGAAAAAATAATCAATTACACAATGGTACCACCACTATTTAATCTTGAAAAATGCTATGACATCACTAACTTAGAGCATGTGGTGTTACTATAGATTTTGATGATCTATGATGGCGAAGCGACAGCTAACTTAGATTTCTTAGGGATACTTTTGGTGGCCAAAAAATCTCAAGCATGCTTATCATTTATTGAAAATAAGGATGATAGTAAACTTGTGGTTATTGGTAATATGCAGCAACGCGGGTTCAATGTAGTCTATGATGTGGGGAACTTACAAATTGGCTTTGGGACTAATGATTGTAGCTAGTAACGGTTCAATCGAGTTGATTGAGTTAAATGCAATTTATTTTTGTAGCCATAATTAATAGGTTTCATCATATTGGCTATAAAATCAGGGCGTGCGAGATAGTAAATGTGGTCAAGAAAAAAGTTTGATTGTATCAAAATTTTATGAAATAATTTAATAGCAGTAAAGGCAACTTTATATGAGTTCATGAAAACCATTAAGATGTGCTTAATTTCTTTATAACTAAGGGAAAATAATGACATTTTTTATTGGAGGATAGAATTTTGATTATCAGAGTTAAAATCTCATCATTCTTTTCAAAAGAGCTTATACTTAAAAATAATGAAGATTGCTTATACAGTGTTAGACTATTCCAAACTAAAATCATCACATATTTTTCTTCAACTTGATCATTTTGGTTCTCATTTATGCTTCTTTTTTTTCCTATTCACTAAATGGAGGCATTTAAGGCTTCTGAGTTTGGCCAACCCATTGGGCCACCCAACTTAAGACATTAAAGCTTTAATGCGACCAATCCCATGTTCCTTAAATATGGGGACATTTAGCTAATTAAGGCAAACCCAGATACTGATCACATACATAACCATAGAACTCATCATCTCTAGTTGATATTTCAAAGAGAAACTCTATATCTCCAACAAGCTCTCTATGATATTGATTTAGAGTAGTGTTATGATGCCATGGAACTTATTTTGTTCTTTGATGGACGTCTGCTCATCGAAGACTATTAGGACTTGGGACATGTTATTGAGATCTTCTTTTCATATACGGAGGTTGAACTGGAAAAATAAGTGAAGTATATTTCTTTGAGGTTAAGAAAAGGTGCTAGTGCTTGGGTTACACAATTATTGCGAATGAGATACAGAGAAGGGAAATGATGGATTTGGAGTTGGTCTAAGATGAAATAGATTTTGAGGGCTCATTTCTTTCCATTGATTTTGAGCAAATACTTTACCTTAAATATCTGCATTGAGTTCAAGGGGTTCATTCTATAAGTGAATATACATATGAATTCTACAGGTTGAGTGCATGGAACAATCTCAATGAGTCCCATATTCAAATCATTGAATGACATATTGGTGGCCTAAATGTCATCTTATACAATAAATTGGAGTTAAGCTCGATATGGTCATCATCTCATGTTGTAAAATTCACATTGTAAACAAAAAATGCAACTTAGTCGTCATTCAAAATTACACTCAACTCGTCACCAATTTATAGAATTAGCTGTGGAAGGTAATAATCCCAATAACCACTAACTAAAATTATAGCAACACTACCACAACAAAATCACCTAACCATGTAGGCTACGATTAATCAGGATAATAA